GGCGCCCCACTCAGCCCTCCTCGCAGCGGCGCCCCCACTCGACCCTCCGCGCTCCTCGCCCCCACCCCCTCAGCCCTCCTCACAGTGGCGCCCGCGCTCGATCCTCCCGCAGCGGCACCCCAGCTCGACCCTCTGCGCTTGTCGCCCCCGCTCGACCCTCCTCGAGCGGCGCCCCCTCTCGACCCTCGGCGCCCCCCCCCCCCCGCTCGACCCCCGGCGCTCCTGGCCCCCGCTCGACCCTCGGCGTCCCTCACTTCCGCTCCACCCCAGGCGCCCCCCCGCCCCCGCTCGACCCTCCTCGTAGCGGCGCCCCGCCCGACCCTCGGCGCCCCTCACCTCCGCTCGGCCCTCGGCGCCCCCCCGCCCCCTCTCGACCCTCCACGCAGCGACGCCCCCGCTCGACCCTCGGCGCCGCTCACCTCCGCTCGACCGAGGCGAGCCAGCGGCATCCCGGGCCATCATTTCCAACCAGAGCGGGCGGGGCGGCGTCCGGCGCCATGCGCTCCGCCTTATGTACGGCCGACGAGCTCGTAAAGACGGCGCTTCGTCAAACGCGGCGTCGCTTATTTCCCGCGGGAGCCGTGCCGACATTAACAAGTTTTTCGGCGGCAAACTTGCCGGCGTCCTTACGGGGCTAAGTTGGGCGCCGTAAGCCGCCGCGCCGCCGTCTGAAGGGGCGGATGACGCCTGCAGGTGAACCGTGTCGAGTTGGAATGAGCTGCGGTGAAATACGTGTGTGCTGGACTTGTGCGATGTCATGAGCTTGGGTGGTATGCCGTTAGGTCATCAGTCGGCGTTGATGAGATGTGATGGGTTGGCGAGCTGGTGAACTGTGATGTGATCTGGGGCGAGCTGGTGAACTGTGATGTGATCTGGGGCGAGCTGGTGAACTGTGATGTGATCTGGGGCGAGCTGGTGAACTGTGATGTGATCTGGGGCGAGCTGGTGAACTGTGATGTGATGGGTTGGCGAGCTGGTGAACTGTGATGTGATCTGGGGCGAGCTGGTGAACTGTGATGTGATCTGGGGCGAGCTGGTGAACTGTGATGTGATCTGGGGCGAGCTGGTGAACTGTGATATGATCTGGGGCGAGCTGGTGAACTGTGATGTGATCTGGCGATGATCTGGGGCGAGCTGGTGAACTGTGATATGATCTGGGGCGAGCTGGTGAACTGTGATATGATCTGGGGCGAGCTGGTGAACTGTGATGTGATCTGGGGCGAGCTGTGGCGAGATGCGGTTGACTACGGTGAGCTCTTGTAGGCGCAGGCTCGTCATGGGCCGGTCTAGCTGGCCTTGCGCTGGCGGCCACGGGATGCGGCCTCGGTGCTGGCGGCTGCGAAGGCGAGCACCACTCGACAAAGTGGCCGGTCATGTGACAAAGTGACCGGTCACGGATGAGCGGCGGCACGGCCGGCACCACTCCTGCGGCATATGCGCCGGCCATCTGCCGCTGCGGCGACGCCGCGCCTCCCTGACGTCACTGCGGCGGCGCCTGCGGCTGAGGCTGTGGATAAAATGGAGCTCAGTCGTGACGGCGGCCGGGGCCGGCAGGTTCAGTCTCGAGCTGGGCAGTGCTGAACTGTGACAGGCTGGGGCTGGGCCCGGTCCGGCGATGCGGGGCCGCGCCGACGGCGCCGGTGCGTGACTGGCCGCGGATTGGGGGGCGGAGGCCCGGATGATCCTCTCCGCCTGCCGGGCACGGTCCGGCACGATCTCCGAGACTGGCTCCGTCTGGCGCACGACCTCCGACTGAGGCCGTGATTACGGTCTCGCCTCCCCCTCCCCCTGCCGTCCGCATCGAGCGGGACTACTGCTGCGGGACGGTCCGCCGCCCCTCCGCGCGATCGGGTCGGGACAGTCCGCCGCCCCTCCACGCGACCGGGTCGGGATGCCGTTTTCGATCCCGCTGCCCGTTATTTCCTGAGGTTCTGTCTGGGATTGATGGTCCGTGTTTCTGGCCCGCGCTGGGCTGCTCTCCTTTTGATGCCGATCGGGCCCGGCTGCCCGCTAGGTCGTCTGTGGCCGCGGGCTGGGACTGCGCGTGTGCCCGCTCCGGTGTTCGCTGTCCGGTCCAGCCGGCTCGCCACAGCCGTCCCGCTGGAATGTTCACCGGCCGCCACTGCCGGCCGGCTGGCTCAGCCGCTGGTAGTGGTGGGCAGCGGTATAGTGGTGGACTACGGCGCACAGTACCGAGTCACGTCCGGCACGCGAGGCAGGACTGGTTCGCGGTTGACTCCCCGGGTCAGCCGCGGGTCGGGACGCATTGCTGCGGCGGCTTTCGGAAACCCCGAGGGATTGCAGAGCGGCTGGAGGCCCTCGTTGCGGGTTGCAGAGCTGACGCACTGAGCAGCGCGGAGTCGGGGTACGCAGGCTCAGGTCCGCGAGTCCAGCTGGTACAAGGTGAACGGGCAGATCATCGTCGGCCCGGGATCTGACGCAGTTTCGTTGTGGCGATTGAAGCCTGAGCCAGTCAGAGGGAGTGCTCTATGTTTGTACGGGGTTTTGAGCCGAAACAGTCATCTTGAAGATCATTCGGTGCAGCCACAGCTCTACCCTTTTTAAAGGGAGCATCCCATCTTTGGGCACATTTTGAAAACACACTCTTGTCAAAACCTCAGGATTAGCTATGTCTGACGATAATACTTTCTGATGTCACTGCCGCGCCGTCAGGACATATTGAGTAACGATTTAATTATTTTCGAGTCCAAATTGCGCTGTGCACGCTTTGTGTCAGCACTACGCTTTTTACCTGCAGTCGCAACCGCCGTTGTCTGACAACATCCATGAACATCCCTACTGGTGCGAACAGAAGAACGGTTGTGATTGGCCCAGTGAGAAAGGGCCTGTTACCCAGAAGCGAATTGGTTAAAGTTTGAACCAGCGCGTCACATCGATCATGTGATTTTCCCAATGCCAAAGCCAAAGCGCGCCTCGAAAAGAACCACAGTAATACACGCTGGAGGGGAGAAATCAAAGTCACGGTATAACGTTTTGTTAAATTCACGTGACAATAGCTTATATTCGCCTATCTTTTTCTTTAAAGGAAGTGTTTCAAGCTTTCGTAGCATTTTGACGCATGAGCGTGTTGCAAACATTACAGAACACACGCGCTGGGAACAACGAGGTAAATGAAATGCATTACTTTCATAGTGGTGAGCAGGGAGTCAAATCGAAATTCTTAGCTCTTCAGAAGGATTTCGAGAAAACTGGTCGTAGTAATCAAATCGCACGCGTCTGATGTTAAGTGCCAAGAGCAAACTGGTGGCATGCCCCCTTCACTCCCTTTCATGAGGACGGGATCCCCGTGATGTCTGGGCCGCAGAGTAGGCCGCCCACGGCCCTGACCCTGGTCATGTGATAATCAGGCGATCATTTCCGATACTCATGAAAGGTTAGCAGCATCTAGATCACCATGGTCACGCACCCCTTACGACGGCGACGGCGGCGGCGGCTGGGAGCCAATGTCATCCTCCATAGCCGCGCCTCAGAAGGACCACTTCACCCGGCCATGTTAAGGCCGCTGCCGTCCGTCCTCAGCCAGCGTGAAGTGTGCGGCCGACACCGATCATATTCCCAACGCATGCTGTCGCCTGCCATGCAACGTGTCCTCGGCTGTCCGCCCCCCCCCCCCCCCTCAGTGGCGGCGCGTGGTGTGTCTTTCGGCGCGCGTCATCCAGTAAACGAGTGATCGCGCTGAGCGGGGGAAGGGGTGATGGGGGGGGGGGGGGAGGGTGCCGCCCGGCGCGGTTTGTCGTTCAGAAGAATTGCTGGAGACTTTTGCTTCCCAGGAAAGCGTTGTTCCCTGTCATTGACCTACAAGGTTGAACTAGGGAATGTGTGCTGTCGCCAGTAGAGTCAGATCTACGCCGCACTTGAGGCGTGGTCTTTGCCTCGGTCCTCCACGGACCGGCCTTCCGGTCTTGCACCGCCTACAGGCCGTCTAGTCACACGGCGAATTGTTATTTCGTAGCGATGTGGACTAAATCAATTACCTGCTACCGACTGTGTGAGGCGAAATGAGAGCTGTCATTCTGGCAAACGTGCGTCATCAATCATGTGAGCTAATTCTCAGCTGCGAGACGTTCAAAAGAGCCAGCCCGCAGCGGCAACTTTTGAGCCCACAACAGCGTGACATTATGAAGAGCTTGATGCGTCAAAGGGCGTGACTTTTTGGATGGATTAGCGCCGGAGATAGCTATCGTGACCGGTTTCCGATGGGCTCCGGGAGGGACCCGCCAGGGACTAACGGTCCTCGCCCCAAATTTACCGTTTAGTTTGAGCTGTTTCCTCGTAATAATAGCGGAAAGGTCAGGTCAGGCCACGACAAATTTAATATGAAAAGAAAATTAGTAATGTGTGTTGTTGTCAGCCGTTTTATACGCAAACGCTCCATACACCTAAGTCTGCCAGAACACACGAATGTTGCGGACCGATGCCCCAGCCGAGTGAGTCGGCTGCTTGTGGCAGCCCGGTAGCCAGCCTCACGCCGGCCCAGTCACTCCAGGCATCTCCCTGATGGTGTGTCACGCTGCCATCACACTGATGGTGCGTTGCGCCCGTCGCCATCACACTGATGGTGTGTCGCGCCCGTCGCCATCACACTGATGATGTGTCGCGCCCGTCGCCATCACACTGATGATGTGTCGCGCCCGTCGCCATCACCTCGGATGGTGTGTCGCGCCCATCGCCATCACACTGATAGTGTGTCGCGCCCGTCGCCATCACACTGCTGAACCCCGTCCGGGAGGTGTCGCAACTCGCGTGTAACATGCGTGACCCACAACCAGGAGGGTACCGAGTCCAGAGCCTGTTGCCTGTTGTTACTTGTTAGCTGTAAACCGGGACGTGTTCCAGTTTGCTCTCTGCAGTCGGCGTGAAGGAATGCAGCGCCGCGCACCACAAGAGAAGCGGGCGGTGTATATTACACCCCGTCCCGACCGGCGACACGGCGCCCCTGTGACCCTTCTCTGACTCCCCCCCCCCCTTTTCCCCGTTAGGTGCCGTGAGAGCAAGTACGCGGCCAACCTGCCCGACACGGCGGTCATCATCTGCTTCCACAACGAGGCGTGGTCGGTGCTGCTGAGGACAGTGCACTCGGTCATCGACCGCTCGCCGCCGCACCTGCTCAAGCAGGTCATCCTGGTGGACGACTTCTCCGACATGGGTGAGTGGGTCGCCGCGGACGGCGCCGGCGGCTCGGAGCTGACTGTTGGGAGGCGCGACCGATCCGGCTTGAGCGGCGCCGCGATGGCCGCGGGGCGGCCGGCCGGCGGTGTTTTGTAGTGTGAGGCTGCCGGTGCCGGCCAGTGACGAGTCGACTTAACGGAGGCCGGCCATCGGCGCCGCATGTCGGCGGGCGACGGGCGCCGGTGTCGCGTGGCGGCGACCTCCCCAGCGGGGACGCGAGGGCGGCCCGGCCGGCGACACCGGCGACCCGGGGACCGCGAAGTCGAGGCTCTGACCTGACCGGGGGAGGCGGCGAAGCACCGGGCCGTCCGAGGCACGCGGCAGCAGTGACCTCCCGCCTCCATGACCGTGAACGCGGCCGTGACCGGGCCGCAGTGACAAGTGACGCCCGCTGCTACGTCGGCCCAGGGAGCGACATGTCGCGCCGAGGAGGTTACATGGATCGGGCCATGTCGGCCAGGCCGGACCCGCTGCGCCTACACACGGCTAGAGGCGGTTCGGGACAGGCCGAGTGCGGAAGCGGAGTCATCGGCATTATTGTGACGTGGTCTGAGTCCCCCTTGAGTCCCCCCTCCCCCTCGGTCTGAGTCCCCTCCTCGGTGTGATCTTCAGCCCCCCTGGCGGCTTGTCGCCCGTCTTTGCTGTGTGGTATGCTCCCATGGCATTGCCCGGCACTGATGTGCCCCTGACATTTGACTTAGGCTTATGACACTCTCGTGTGCATTGAGCTGCAGTACACATCACGTAGCCGTTGGTAGTTGTAGTAGCGGAAGGCTTAGGACCGGGAATGCCGCGGGCACCACCACCTTCTGAGAAGACCAAGCACCAGCCCTATGCTAGCGACATGTGGAAGCAATCGCCCTCGAGACTGGTTAGGGTGCCCCCGATTTCTGAAACCTTTCTGCATCTACAAACGGAAAGAATGGGAGAATGGAAAAGAGGGAAATGTGTTTCAGCTACCCGCGTCGAACCATCAACCTCGTCAGTTTTGCGTGGCGCGTGCCACCAACAGTCAGATTTGGGCTGACTGCGCGGGTCGCATCGGGTTAAAAGAAAACGAAAAAGGAACTTGCCTGATCTTTGAACGTGCTCCTGTCAAAAGAGGACAGTAAATAGTATATATGCATTGGCTGCGATGTGATCTTTCGACTTTCCCACTTGACCTCGGCAGTGAGGTCTGCGCGTAGTTGATCAGCTGACCTGCGGATGAGTGAAATGGTGTAGAGGAAGCGTTACCCTGGGCAGGCGGCACGCTGCTGGAATTGCCGCCATGGGATAATGCTGTCCGGTATGCGATCCACACGTGCAGCACATTGCATGACCGCGAGGAGGGACTGCAAGGCACGCGGGCCCCCTCACCAACAAGGGACGAGGAGGGACTGGAAGGTACGCGGGCCCCCTCACCAACAAGGGACGGGGAAGGACTGGAAGGCACGCGGGCTCCTCACCCACAAGGGACGGGGAAGGACTGGAAGGCACGCGGGCCCCCTCACCGACAAGGGACGGGGAAGGACTGGAAGGCACGCGGGCCCCCTCACCGACAAGGGACGAGGAAGGACTGGAAGGCACGCGGGCCCCCTCACCCACAAGGGACGGGGAAGGACTGGAAGGCACGCGGGCCCCCTCACCCACGAGGGACGAGGAGGGACTGCAAGGCACGCGGGCCCCTCACCCACAAGGGACGGGGAAGGACTGGAAGGCACGCGGGCCCCCTCACCAACAAGGGACGAGGAGGGACTGCAAGGCACGCGGGCTCCCTCACCAACAAGGGGTGAGGAAGGACTGGAAGGCACGCGGGCCCCCTCACCAACAAGGGACGAGGAGGGACTGCAAGGCACGCGGGCCCCTCACCGACCAGGGACGAGGAAGGACTGAAAGGCACGCGGGCCCCCTCACCAACAAGGGACGAGGAGGGACTGCAAGGAACGCGAGCTCTCTCACCCACAAGGGACGGAGAAGGACTGGAAGGCACGCGGGCCCCCTCACCAACAAGGGACGAGGAGGGACTGCAAGGTACGCGAGCTCTCTCACCCACAAGGGACGGGGAAGGACTGGAAGGCACGCGGGCCCCCTCACCAACAAGGGACGAGGAGGGACTGCAAGGCACGCGGGCTCCCTCACCAACAAGGGGTGAGGAAGGACTGGAAGGCACGCGGGCCCCCTCACCAACAAGGGACGAGGAGGGACTGCAAGGCACGCGGGCTCCCTCACCAACAAGGGGTGAGGAAGGACTGGAAGGCATGCGGGCCCCTCACCGACAAGGGACGAGGAAGGACTGAAAGGCACGCGGGCCCCTCACCGACAAGGGACGAGGAAGGACTGCAAGGCGCGCAGGCTCCCTCACCGACAAGCGACGGGGAAGGACTGGAAGGCACGCGGGCCCCCTCGCCGACAGGGGACGGGGAAGGACTGGAAGGCACGCGGGCTCCCTCACCGACAAGCGACGAGGAAGGTTGCAGCACAGCCGCATCAAATCCTTCATTTAAATGTGGGATGCAGGTCCGCGCTACTTGTCCCTTGCATATGCTGTTGGTGAGCCAACTCCGCTCTGGAGGCGCGTGAGACGCCGCCTGGCGGTGCCGGCGAGGTCGTCCGAGCGGGCCCCGCGCCGCCGGCTGGGCACCTGACCGGTTTCAGGAGCCGGTCCTGCCGGCGGTCAGCCCCGCGCCCGGCGGCTCGGCCTTGGCAGTGAACTGGGGCAGGGGCGAATGAGAGGGGGCAGGGGCGAATGAGGGGGGAGGGGCGAATGAGGAGGGACAGTTGAATGAGGGGGCAGAGGCAGGAGGGCTGGACTGTAATGGGGGTCAGATCATCGTGCGTGAGGGGCTGTTCTGAGTCGGGTCAGATAATCTGGTGAATGTAACCGCGTTGGAGCGTGCTGGGAGTGTCCAGGCGAGTTGCTCTGGATCGGGTCAGGTTGGGCTTTTCGATGTCTGGTCAGGTCATTTTCCAGATATGTCTCCACCGGTCCTGGCGGCGACCGTACCGGTGCGGCCAGTTAGATTGCCGCCCATGAGGTGTGGAACTGCCTCGGGCTCGACCAGGCCGCTATCCACGCGGGCTGTACTCAGCAATAAAGGTCAGCAGCTCACTCGTATGGCTGCACGAAGTCCAGTCGGCTCGCGGTCCGCACGGAACCGCACTAGTTGGGGTAAGTCCCTCCCCTTCTTCTGGGGGATCGTGCTGAGCCGTGCCGCCGCCCGTGCTTGGCTGCGATGATCGGGCTCAGGCTGTGGCCCCGCCCCGCCATTGCCAAACACGGCACAACGGGGCGACGGTGACTCGAGAGCCGACCGGTTCGGTGCATTCGTGCGCAGCAGCGTTGACCAGCAGCGTGCCCCGCGTGCGGCGCCGTTTCTTCCGCCGCCGGGGCTCACGCCGAGCATAAGCCACCAGTGACGTCGAGCTTGAGGGCCGACCCTGGAAGCTAGCGGGCCCGAAAATACGCTCGTGACGCGGGGGTGGCGTGCCGGCCGTCGCTTGATGCACTCGCGTGACGTACGGAGGCCGGCGCGGCGGGCGGGCGAATATTTCGGGACGCTGGGCCGGCCCGGGCGCGTCCTGCGCTTAATTCTGAGCTTTATTAGTGTCCGTCGGGGCCGGGCGAGCGTTTGTGTGATCGATGCGGATCGATGTGGGCCGAGTTGTCCCGGGCGGCGGGGTGCCAGCTTCCGTCCTCAGCGCCGCCGCCGCCGACTCCGCGTGTGACTCCTCAGCGCCGCCGACTCCGACTCCGCGTGTGACTCCTCAGCGCCGCCGACTCCGACTCCGCGTGTGACTCCTCAGTGCCGCCGACTCCGCGTGTGACTCCTCAGCGCCGCCGACTCCGCGTGTGACTCCTCAGCGCCGCCGACTTCGACTCCGCGTGTGACTCCTCAGCGCCGCCGACTTCGACTCCGCGTGTGACTCCTCAGCGCCGCCGACTCCGACTCCGCGTGTGACTCCTCAGCGCCGCCGACTCCGCGTGTGACTCCTCAGCGCCGGCGACTCCGCACTATCGGCGGCCGTGTTGCTCTCGCAGCTCTCCGATCGGTCGCCTCGAACACTGCAGCCATCGGAGCGTCACCTCAGCACGTGCGGCCGGTCGGATTAGAGCCGCAGTTATGGCCGGTGTCGGGCCCGGCCGCGGCGCGGCCGGATTATTGCGGCCGCCCGCGCCGCGGTCGGTCTTCATTAGGACCCGAGCGCGGCTCTCGACGGGTCGTCTGCCGGCTGGTGGCGTCGCCGGCCGCCAAATTAGCCGCGTCGGCGCCCGTCGAGTGCGGCTCTTCAGGCGCGCGCGTCGGAGGCGCTGGGGCGCGGCTAATCTTCGGGATCATACGGTCAGAGATGAGTCTGAGTGACCCGCGGGGTGCTTTGGTCGTATTGCGGCGCTCTGCGCTCTGCGGTTGGAAAAAGCCGAGTGGATGGCTGTCGGCGTCTGCAGGGAAGGAGCTGCGGATGCAAAATTGGTACTTGGTGGACTCTGGGGCAAGTTTTGCCCAGCATGAACCTGAGGACCAAAGGAATGGAAAACGGTGAATCCCGCCTGGACAGCGAGGTCCGTCCTGTTTTGTCTGGCACCCCGCACTATCTGAACACCACGTCTGTCCAGGGATGGCGTAAAACGCCTTGACGAAACATATGGAAGTCGCCATCAGATGGCCAAGCACGTCGAGTAACTGGTTTCTGGCCGGGTTTGCCACATCTGCCGGATTATACCAGCGTGTCACTCCGGCGGCCAGCACCTGACTGGCGAACGGCCTGGCTGGCCGCGTGAGGCTGTGCCCGCCGCGGCGCGGCGGTGACCAGGCCCTGGCCCGGGAGCACGGGAGGTCCAGCGGCCGGCCGGCGCGGCGGCACGTTCGATTGCATAACTCCATCCACCTCCGGACAGGACGGGACCGGTTCGGCTCCGGTGCCGGCGGCTGGCCCGGCACTATTCCGACAGGGTCAAGGAACGGCCCCAAAATCAGGCGCGTGGGGTCGACAGGGCGT